CGCGGGGAGGCAGAGATGGGGCTTGGCGTGGGGTCCAGGGGTGCATGGGGATGTGGTTACCCAGCTCCTCCTGGCTGGCGGTGAATTCTCCTCTCCCTGCTGGGCTCCCACGCGGTCCTGCTGTCAGCAAAGCAGGGTGTGTGCAATGGCTTTTCTGTGCCAGCAGCCGGTGGGGACAGCTAGAGCAGAGATAAGGGGGCAGCTTGTGGCAGGAGACTTCCACCTCAGTAAGAATTAAGACATGCCTGTGCAAGTGTGGGTCCTGCTGCTTGCCCACTGCATCCTCTCTCAGGTCCCTTTGAGGGGAGACCCAACACCACCACTGCGGGACGAGCTGGGTGGTTGAGCCAGGCTTGGTCCCACCAGACCATCCCCTTCCCTCTCCTGGCTGGATTGGGGCAGGGCAGGGACACACCCAAGGTCTCAAGAAGCAATAGGTCAAGCAAAGCAGAGCTCAGGGTGGCTTGGGCATGTTCCCGGCATGCTGGCATCGGTGTGATTAATTTTTGGGTGCAAACCCCTGCATTTTCAGGTTGCCCAGCTGGTCTAAGCAGACTAAGTATGCCAAGGGGATCTAGGGTCAGAGCAGCTCTGGCTGCTGCAGTGTTGCCATCCCCTGGTGTTCGGGAGCTGATTGAATTAGGCTTCGCAAATAATTCATCTGATGAATAGTGTCAGTTTTCCTCAAATCATCCACAAATCAGATTTTTCATTACCCAGCTGGCAGGGCAGAGAGTCAGAAAACAAGGCTGGTACCTCACTCACTGAATGCTTGCACTTGCTCATTGAGCAAATTATTCCCCAAACACACTTTTCCATCAGCCAGTGACATGTCTCTCAAGGGGATATTGATTAAAAGCAGGAGATGAACTTTTCCCAGCCCTCCTTGCACCCACCATGAGGGCTGGTACCTGACCTCTCTCCACAGTTCAGGGTATCTTTAAACAGGAGAAATCAAGTTTTTACTGCCCTAGAAGTGCCTTTTCCAGCCAGGGTAACCCTGCGGCCAGTGTCACCAGCACCTCCATGTATTTCCTACCATCGCTGCCTGCCCAAGAGCACTGATGGAGAGGCCACACTGGCCCCGCAGAGGCCCCGCGGTGAGGGGACTAGCATGGCTTGACCCTGCGAACATGGTACCTAAATAGCCAGTGATGGAGGGACCGGCCACCCCAAGGGTGTTGAGGTGGGGGGCAGCTCACTGGCTGTCCCACCATTTTTGGATGCAAACCCCTGCACTTGCAGGGTGCTTGGCTGGATCAGGCTGTGGTAGGGTAAAAACATCAGTAAAAACACAACAGTTTCACACCTTGAAAAAACTGATGCTGTGTTTGGTATTTCCCATTTATCCTTCCCCTTTCTTCACAACTTCTACAATTTGAGCATTTCTCCCCCTAGGTGAAAAAAAAAAATCCACAGCAAACTGATGCCCAAACTCCGCCTCTGCTTTCCTACCCCTCGGGATGCTCCACGGATACACTCCCGCTCCCAGGAGGGAAGCGAAGGGCAAAGAGACAAGCAGGAAAATACTCTCCCAGCCCTTCTCAGATTTTCAAAGCCATCAGCAAATGCTTCAATCTGAAACACGACCTGCGGCACTGCCTCGTCAAAAAACCCAACCAATGCAAAAAGAAGAAGTCGCTGAGAGACCAACATCTTGCAGAGACATGAGCAAAGCCTCCCATCGCCTCTCTCAGCTGCTTCACTCCCAAAGAGCTGGCTGGCAGAAAACCCCACTTGCCTTCACGAGGCAGATGAGTTCCCTGGGGACCGAGTGCTGCCTCCTATTTGTCTTTTTATTTTTTTAGCAAAACAGTTTACCAAGCAAAGCACCTGACTGGCCCAGCTCAGCACAGAGGGGATGCTGGATGAGCCATGCCAGCGTAGCAGCACCTCTCCTCAAGTGGCAGATTGCTTTCCTTCACAAGCTGAGCATGCAAGAGCACACAGAGAAAAAAAAAAAAAAGCCTATTCGTTATCTTCCTGCAGCTAACAAATGATATCTGTCCTCCGGGCTGCCAAGGATTTCACTGACTGTTTTTTTTTTTAAAGAAACAAGAAATAAAAGTAAGAAAGACGATAACATTGCGGCAATTGCTTCACGACTGTGCTCTGAGTTACGGCGAGCGGTATTTTATCTTCAGTTCAAAATCTAAATGTGGCAGAAGCACATTTAAATGTGGTGACATTTATACTTTAAATGCCTTTCACATCTCATTGGCAGGTTTTATATAGAACATATGTATGGAAAGTAGATACGGGCTGTGGATGAAAATGCGGAGTGGGGAGAGCCTGCAGAGCCATTTGCAGGCAGAATGTGAGTTAAAAGAAAGACTGAGAGGAAGAGAGAAGGGAGGAGAGACAGAGAAGGAGAGGAACAGGGTCTGGGGTGCCTAGGCAGTAAACAGACGGTTTTTTTGGCCCCTGACCACTTGTTCACAGTGCAGCTTGTTCCCAGGCACCAGCTCCCCCTGCTCCCTCCCGTCCCGGCCAGCTCAGCGTTGCTTACGTGTTGCCACTGGTCCAGGATGAGGGGCCGGTACCGCAGGAAGAACTTGAGCGGGAAAGACTCAGGGTCGGGCCAGGACGAGGGGTTTTGCCATGAGACCTCCAGCCTCCGAGGGTTATTGGGCACAGGTTTGGCCACCACGCTCTCTGGAGGGTCCGGCTTTACTGGAAGAGAAGAGGGTGACTGGTAAAGCTTTGTGTGTTGGCAACCTTCCTTACACTCCTTGGCATAACTGGCTGGGCTTTGCACCGTGTGCTTTCCAAGGGGAGCAGCCAACACGCAAAAAAACCTTTTTTCCAAACTGATGTAAACCACGACAATCACCTTTTCTTGTCCAGGGTAGTGGTACGGCTGTCCTGGCTCAAAATAACCATTGTCAAGGAAGTGCCAGTGCCTTGAGACCCACAGAAACAACCTGGCTAGGGCACAGAGCATCCCTCCTCCCCAGGGCTACTTGGGTTGGGGCGAGGAGCCCACCAAGCCCAAATCCAGCACTTTCCTTGCACCTCTTGATTTCTGGGAGTCTGACCCACGGAATTTGGCCCTTGGATTTAGGGCTGGAGTAATGGGGATTCAAAGCATTGGCACATCATATTTGTCAAGGGTGAAGGACTGCTGTGGTCACCTTCCACCCAAGGTATCTCTCAGACCTGGTCTGCTTTTGGGATATGGGGATATTATCTTGCTACTTGACAAGTATTTCAAGGAAATATTTATTGGCTGCGAGCTGTGCAACATGCTTTGAAGTTGCAGCTACTTTTAGAGTGCTGGGAGCAAAACACAGTCAGGCTGTGATGAATGGCATTGCCCATTGCAGAGCAAGCCTTGCTCCTCACCAAGGGTTTCCTCACCTCCTGATAGCTCAAACTCTCAGTTTGCAATAGCAAAGCTACAAAAAGGCTGAGATTTTGGTACACCCATGCTTCTGCTTTTCTCATGGCCAGGAAGGAGCTTGGCATGGGCAGCTGGGCACACAGCTGTGGCTGGGGTGGACGAGGGCTCTCTGTTCACTCTGAGAAAAGCAATGCACATGAATTGTGCACACGAAGGCCCAGGAAGGCTCTTAACCCCCTCCAAAGTCCACGTGCAGGCCAATGGATCCCTCCTGGCCTGAAAATCTCTGGATTGAGTCATGGTCCCCTGGCTATGACCACCTCAAGCAGCAGCTTGTGAAGGTGTCAGCATCAAACTTCACTCCCAACCATTGAGCAGGGATGCTGGGGCCATGGGGAAGCCCCTCCCTGCCTGGTAGAGCTCAGAGGTCTTCTCCTCCATGCTGACCCCAGGGGTTCACCTGCTGCAGGTGGGAGGTGATGACCACATAGCGGCATTGCCTCTCCTGGGAGAGGAAGGAGGCGGTCGTGGCAAGTGAGCTGCTCTCTCGCTAGCCTGCCTGCCTGCTTGCCTGCAGTCCTTCCCTATGCATGAAGGTCATCTCTCCCTCTGCTTGAAGCTACATGGGACCAGGTGCTGATGTGGGGCCAGTCTGCTGCAAGTGGAGTGTGTGTGCTGTTTGCTGCCATCTCTGCTCCAGGACGATGTTGGCATCACAGCAACTGTCCCCATGAAGACACCTTCCCTGCACCTTGCTCCTCTGACGAGAAAAAAGCCTGTGATGGTTTCAAACACAGTTTCTTGGCTGCAGGTTAGGCAGAGGTGCGTCACTGAAATGAAGCCACAGCCCAACCAGAATTGGCCCTGCTCCCCGCCAAAACACAGCCCACCACCACCTCCCTCTCTCCAGCCCTCCTGCTCCACACCCTGGCACACACCCTGCTGCAGTCCTTCACCGTCATGTTCACCACCGCCCTGACAGCCCCTCCAGCCTCCCATCGCCTTTCCTGTGCCCGTGGTGGGTGCAAGGGAGGGCTGGACAGCTTCCTCCATCCCCCCTGCACCTGGTGCTCAGAGGATGCACCCGGGGGCTCGAGGAGCGGCTGGTGAGCAAGCATCCATGGGCCTGACCACGGGTGCCTAGTGCCACCTCCCAGCCCCCACTGACCCCTCTCCGTGGCAGGACAGGACACAATTTTCCATTTACAGCTTTATCCTCAGCAGGAGGGAAGACTTGCTGGGGCTGCGCCGCACTGAACTGCTCCAGATGGCTGTGCAATTCCTCCGCTTGCTTT